GGATGGTGAAGGGAGGGGGTCGTGTCATAGAAGGGAATCAGGGGGAGGGGTCATATTTTCAAAAAAAATTATCCCCAGCACATCCCTGCCCCTAACATGGCTTCCATAATGGCGCTAATATGCAGTTCGGCTCAGCAAGATTGCTTGAATGAGACCTGACCACGGGTAAAAGTACATTCCACGCTGGTCGTGTGGGCGGGAAGGGAAGGCTCCTGATTGGCGCATCCCTTTTCTCACCACTTTGTAGTCAGAAGAGGGAGCACACCAATGAAGTGGTATGGTCTCCGCCCATACCTTCAGCGTGGTATGCGCCTTTGATTAGAATTCCCAAAGTCGTCTAGGAATGGTCTCTGAGCTTGCATACCTTCTGTAATGGTGACGATTTCAGCTGGTATCAATTCGAAACTCGCTACGTTTCCTGCTTGGCGGCTGTTACGGTTATGAAGGCAGTCGTCCTCAAGCACCACTTCCTCTTCTTGATCAGGTAGTTAATTTTACCGACAAGTTTTAGGCGATATCGCAGCTGTCAGTAAGCAGAGACTTGCCATCATGCGCGATTGCTCGGTGATGCTGCTGTCTTGTCGAAGCTCTAATGCCACGGTGGACGGAGGCAGCCGCTTTTTTATTTGCTGATGTGTCCCCCCCCCCCTTAGTAGAGAACAGGGAGGCACCAATGAGGGAAATGCAGCTTGTGGCTGTCTCCGCCCACGCTGCGAGCGTGAACTAACACTTTAGCCTCTGGCTACATTATAGCTATTCTAAATCCGCGAGGTTTCCTTGTGCGAATTTCTCTACCGCAGTTCTCCCAATGATTACCTCAGAAGTCCTTCGGATCTTCTAGCCTATGGCTTCTAAAGGTCGCCTATTTTAGTGGATCTTACGTAAGGCTCAACAGTTTGGTGTGCGATGTGTGGAAAACTACGAAAACTACCGATTCCGCTCGGCTGCACTTGACATCCTGCACTTCGCTCAGCGCACTTTGAGCGCTCATTACATTGTAAGCTTGATAGGTTTTATTCCAGTCCCAATACCGAAAAACAATAGATTCAATTCAGAGCCTGGTCCGTGATCGTCTGTACTGTTCAAGAATAGGCTGCAATGATCACACTTCTGTACAGTTCACTTTGCACAGGTAATGGAAGAGACGCTTCTCGCCGGTTTTATAGGCGGAGACAGTCAGCCATTGTGCCTCTCTCGCTGATACTCCTCTCCTCTCAGCCGGGAAAGGCAGGGTGTGGACTTACAAGGGAGGTCGTTCAGGCCGTGGTGAGCTTTTTCAAAACGGTTTGTTGCATGTTGTAGGGGTCCATGCGAGGACC